GAATCATCTGATGCTTCGTTAAGATCAAGATCAACTTGTGTCTTGGCCAGTAAATACTCATCCACAAACTTATCAAGGACTGCGTTAAGGTATTCCAGCTTATCCCCATCCCCCGATGACATCATATGGACAGAGATGGTTTTGTGGAGGATCATCAATACCAGCCATGCCAAAAAAGTGTAGCAAGGCTGTGACAGTGTAAGCTCTACCCACACTAAAAAACAACTGTTCACAGTCCTCATAATGCTTGATGTCCTTAGTGACATTCCGACGTTGTAATTTCTCACGGAAGAATCTCAATGTACCTTTTGCTCGCCCTGATTTCCCATACAGTTTCTTAAATATGAACTGGAATGATAAAAGTATATAACAATTATGAAATAACTTTAGTTAACATGAACTGTAGCCTGCGGACAGGCTCTCTTTGAAATCTCTTCAATTCTAAGAGCCTGTTCGCAGGCTACATTAACTGTATCCTCTCCATTTAGCCCCCCCCCCCATTAATGAGTCCTTTTTAAGTGAAGAAATTTATTAAGCCCCTCCCCTCATGTAAAGATTTCTACCAATTTATTTTCTTTTTGGAAAAATAACATGATGCTTAATTAATACATTGTCATGAACATCTTAAAACTTATATATAGTTGAAAAGTCGGAAAGTATACAGTTGAACATCCAAAAACGTTTAGAGTTGTGTTAAAATTGTTAGAATAAATAGTTGTTTTACACACATTGCTTTGAGCTGAAAGAAAATTATCATATAATTTTACCAAAAAAGCCCCCCTCTCTCAAAAAGGTCCATCCCTCTCTTTAATAAGCCCTCTCAAATGGTCTAAAAAATCCCCCAACCCCCTGAGCTCATTTAACAGAGAGAATATGGTATTATTGTTGACTTGTACTGGCTGGGGCTTTTCAGAAATTTTTCACTGGAACAACACAGCTGTATACACGGCTAGAGAAACAGCAAGTCAAATATAACAGCCCCCTGAAAGTGGGCTGTAGGAGAATGTACATGTTAGTAGCAGTTAAATAATATTGATTATGACATTTTGACATAATAATTCTTGCTCACCTTCAAGAAACTCCGTTTTGAATGCCAGTCTGCAACTTTTATTGGATGAATATGGTTAAATCTATCCCTTGCACTGTGACATCCAGCCCTTAAATCCTTTGCACCAGCCATTCGGACCCGAGTGAGCTGATCACCATAGCAAGGCACCCGAACATTAGCCAATGGGTCATTTGGATCAGCTACAGGATGGACGTGGGATAATGGTTGGTCAGGTCGGGAGGTAGATTCAGATAGACCCTGTGTGGGACCGACAGTCAAAGAAGTCTCATCATCAACCGAACCATCACTATCTGGAATTTGACCAGCTTTCGCATAAATTTCATGGACCCATGTTTCAAGCTGGTCGAAGACATCAACAATGTCCGCATACTTCTTTTCATCTTTCAAAAGAACTGGGAATGGCACAATGGTTGATTTTCCTTTCAATTCTGCTGCATATTTCAAAGATGGGTAGGTGTTGCTTACCAATGTCTTAAGAAAGCTGAATGCTGGGATTTGCTCACATAGGATTTTAGCTGCTATCATCTTGTAACTTTGTCGCTGCTGTTCAGCATCATTAACATTCAGTTCGACAAGCTGTTTGATATCAGTCTCGGCTAAAGACTGCTGCGGCTCTGTGTCATCTAAATGGCTGCACGAAACACGATCAAATACCAAAGATGTTGCAACAGCATGTACACTTTGGTTTTGATTATCTGATCGCATTTCGTGCACCTTCACTTCCCAATCAATGTTATCCAGGACAAATGAAAAAGTGTTTCCTGCCTTTACTTGCTCAACCACCTTGTCCAGGAAATGTGTGCCAATCTCATCTTGAATCTTGTACTTCATTGTCTTTTCAAAGCATATACCAAGTTTGTTGAACCTCTCATAAACCTGAATAGGAAAATAAAGTAATGTAAGAATAACAACATTAATTCCTGGAAAGAGTGTAAAAATATAATACACTGTATATTTAATCAGAAATACAAAGTTGAATTAACAATCTATTAGGTCTAAAAATTTGCAATTATGTGATTTGTATGTGGTATTTAAACATTAAAATTTACATTTAAAAGTTTTAAACAGACAGTTATTCTTTTGAAGCAGTTGAAGCACAATCAAACATGAAAAAGCATTTGAAAAGGCATTAGCATCGAGGATTAGCATATCCACATACATTGGGATTAAACTTACTTAAAAAACTAAAAAAAAAACAAAGAAAATTACAACCCTGTTGTTGGTGTTTATATATGTGATAAAATTTCATGTTACTTTAGCTTTGATCAGTTCTCGGCTTAAAAACGTTGATTTTGAAAATTACTTCGCCAATGAACTCATAAACATGGATCGTTTTTTAAGCCATTTAAAGCACTTGTAGTCGTGCTTTATCAGATGTAAAATGTTTGGCTTCCACCTCGCGTTTTATATCTGCTAAAGCACTCCCACGCGTGTTTTAAATTAATACAAGGACATTTTTCTTCTACCCTGGCGAAACAGGAAATATAGTTGTGGTAACAGTAGGAAATGTATCTTTGTGAATCGCAATATTTTGTTTCCCTGTTTGCCCAAAGTTCTTGCGAAGGCACAAATGCACAATTTGCCTCCCAAAGGCAGGCAAAAACAAAATGAATGGGTAGCAAGATTGTTTCTGTATCAATGACAATGTTTTTCAGGATAGAAAACTCATGAAAAAAAAAAATATAAGACTTTTCATATTAGATAAACAATAAATGGGCCGTTATTAAACATCCGGCAATGTAACTGGCAAGATGTTCAATTAATATTTAGAAATCTCCGGTACTAACCGGTACTAATAAACAGCCAGTTTGAGCACAGTTTTAATGACATACAGTACATCATCACTATTGTTTTGCAAGTTGCAATTATTTTCAGTCAAAATTGCTTCTTATACATCTAACGCGGCTTTTATTAAGAACGCTTGCCCTGCAAAAAAATCAGGCTACAGTACCTCGGTGTTCGCACCGCTGTCTGACAGAATAATGGTGTTAATGCTTTGGATAAAGCCGAGTTCCTTGCACCTCTTGAACATAATCACCCCGTATATCAAACTTAGCGCAGCAATCTTTTTCTCGCTACAATTTTCTAATTCCAGCATACAAGCTAATAGTTTATATGTAATAGGACACATGGTCTTTAATTCTTCTACCAGCTGCTCGTACGAAAAGTTGCTTAGCCTGTCAAAACTGCGACTTCGAAGCATCGAATTCGTGTCCCTTCTAGCCACACCACGCAATTCTACATTTATCTTGTCCAAGATTCCTTTAAAAAATGATTCATCCGTTCTTGTAGGTTGGACCGGAAGGATAATCTACAAAAAAACACTCATTTATATGATGTAGATTTTTATAGAAACGTAAATCATAGGCTAAGCGATCGTGTTTTTGGAAAATACAAGATTGTATAAACCGAGTATATAAAACCGCTATATTGACTACTGTGCATTTTTCAATCACAACCTACCTGGAATGGCTGACTTGCTGAATCAGGCGTTGACTGCGGCATACTAGTATCGCTCGAGATTCCACTGGAACTAAAGGAGAGGCCACGACGGGACGGGGCATCCAAATTATGAGATCTCAAACTTTTGGCTCTGCTTACAGGTGCGGAAGGTGATAAACCAGTACATCTTTTCTCCCGAGTTAAACCATTTTGCACGTCACGAACAACTTTTCTAAACTTCTCAAAGTTCTCCAAGCGTCTATCACAAGCCCGACATAAAAGATGAGGAAATCCTTCCTCGCAGATAAGGGCGCCACCGTTAACAATTTCTGCGCTTCGCAGGCGACCTTCGTTCCCCTTTTTAAAAAGATTTTTACAGCGTGCTTTTTCGAAAATCCCACCACAGAGACGACACTTACATCCCGAATCTATAGCAGATTTCGGATAAACTTTCTTTGGTGTTTCTTTTCGCTCAGCCATGGCTTGTAGCTACTCAGAACTGAATTGATTTGTTTACGCGTTAGCCTTCGTAATTTATTTTCTACAGATAGGTGTTTCTTTGAAGAAATACCGGCTGACAAGGTCAAGGTGCGAAAGATCCTCTAACGTTGTAATTGCCGAAAAGGAGTAAAAAGCTTTTAAGTTTAAAAGCCGCCACATATTTTAAAATAATATTTTGTTTTAAAAATCTCCTCTTATGTTTAAAATATCAATAGTTTACCCACTGTTTACTGTAACAGTATTACTATATAATTATTTATAACTATATATTATGTATATATATATTCCAGCGTCATATTACCCTACCACTCCTCCCTAAGTAGCAAAAGAGGCGCCTATTAGATACCACCCAGAATCTGGGTGGTCACGTGACCAGTGTCAACCAGGGTCTTTGCCGTAGCCCGCGGAGGTATAAAGACCCTGGCTTGCGAGGTTGATTAAATGCATGCAAAATGCGACGTTTGAATCAAACGTCGAATTTCATTGAATTCGCTCGAATGAAATGCGAATTGTATTCGACACATGCAAAATTCGACGTTTGAACCAGGCCTTATATTAAATCGCCATCAGATTGCACTATCGACTAACTGACGTATAGTTATAAAGTATACTTAATATATATATACTTTATAATTATATGTCAGTTTGTTGATAAATACGGTAAGCGCCCATGTATAAAAGCTCATTGTAGTCACTGAAACCTCTCTGCGGAGGAGAGAGCAATCGGGTGGCGATTTAATATAAGCTACATTTGCAATATGTTTTGCTAATTTGTGATTATTTTTGTTAATTTTATAAGTTCATTGCAGTTTTAATTTAAATTCAGCCGTTTAGTGGGCTGCTATGCTATAATTAGATTGTTGTTGCCGTTGTGTGAAATTTATTTAAATTTCTCCTGCGACATTCTGATTGGATACTAAATATAAACTTTGCTGTGGGTGGAAAGCGATCAGGTTAAGTTTTGTGTCAGGCTCTATTTGTAAAATAGAGCCTGATATTCAGGGATCGTGACTAAAACACCACACGAGTACATACGAGTAACATACGAGTAACACACAAGTACATACGACTACATACGAGTAACACACGAGTACATACGAGTAACATACGAGTACATACGAGTAACACACGAGTACATACGAGTAACACACGAGTACATACGAGTAACACACGAGTACATACGAGTAACATACGAGTAAAACACAAGAACATACGAGTACATACGAGTAGAATACGAGTAAAATACGACTAGTAAACTTGTTTTTAGTGTTTGTAGATTGAATACAGGCAAAAAGATCGTCTTCTCTGTCGAAAAACGTGGAATGGGGGAACGGGGAATGGAGGAACGGGGAATGGGGGAATGGGGAATGGAGGAACGAGTAACGGGGGGGGGGGGAATCGAGCAATTATGAATTATTATTAATACGTAATATTAATCATATGTACGGGGGGAAAAGAACAGAAAAAAAAGAAACAGAAATTCGACAGGATAAACGGGAATCGGGGAATTACGAAACTATAAAACGGACTCTGGTGTCTTGGGAATTAGAAAACCGCTCAATGAATTAAAACTAGTAAAGAAATTTAGCTGAGATTTCCTTTATTAGTACAGCGTATCATAAAAAAGTCAATCCACATTGCTTATGTCCGATCATTAAGTAATATTAATAATAATAACATTGCTTATGTCATTACTAATATACTTGCTATATAATAAAACAAACTTAAGGACTAGATGCAAGCCCAAGGCGGTCTTTATGCTCCATATGATATCTTAAAGTGATTATCCTATTTTAAATATCTTACAAAGCAAAACTAACAAAACACAAAATACTTCAAAATACGCAGATTTTAAGTTAGCAACTTAAGTTGGCAAGTACGTTTCTAAAGGACCCAGCCGAACTCTCCTGCAAGCCTTTGGACGTGCTCCACCTTGAGAAGGGGAGGAAAGTCTGGAGGAACGAGAACGTCGCCAAGAAAGCTTGGATACTTTGCTCTGATGCAGGCTGATCGGAAATGAAAATGCACGTTCTGAGGCTCACTTGAAAACTGGATTTTTTCCTGCAGGGCCTTTTTACAAGCTGGGGAGGCATTTGCCCCCAGTCCCCCCTTGCGCCCCCCCCCCCACGAAATCACATTTTGTCCCCCCCCCCGGAAAAGTCTCTTTTTCCTAAATTTATACAAACAAACCAGCGAAGAATAACAAATTGATAAACGGAACGTACGTTTTAGGCTCTATCCTTTGTCCTTGTTTAACAAAATCGATTTAAAGGACTGTGTCACCGCGTGCGCATCCTACGTGTTTCTAACACTAAGTAATGATAAATTATTGTTAATATTTTTAAAATTCTTTGTGCGTTTTTTCCTTCTTTTATTTCAAATAGAAGTATAGTTAGGATAAATTTTAGAAAATTTAGATGCTCAGACGGCAGGAAATGGCATTTTTGGGCTTGAAATTTCAAAAATTTTCTGGGGAGTTAATGCCTCCAGACCCCCCTATTCATTCGCGGTATGTCGGCCACACACGTGACCCACGGCCATTGCTATCCCCCTTTAATAATAAGTAATGGATAAATTATTGTTAATATTTCTTTTATTTTTTCTGCATTTTTTCCTTCTTTTATTTCAAATACAAGTATAATTAGCATAAATTTTAGAGCAAATTTAGACGCTCATAAAGCAGGAAATGGTATTTGAAAGGTTCAAATTTAAAACATTTTCTGGGGGAGTATGTCGGCCACACACCGTGGCCGTCGGCCATTGCTATCCCCCTCTAATATATTATCTAAAATCCCTTTTCAAAAAATACCCCCCCCCGGGAAAATCCTTAAAAAGGCCCTGTTGTTCTGTATTTCGGTCTCGGAACTGTCGTATGTCGTCACGGTATAAGTTAACTGTGTAGTTCGTATATTTGCCTAGCCACATGTTGTGATTGAGGCTATGTGAGGATTGTAAGTTTATCACCTAGTACTATTTTAAGTAGATGCAGTTAGTGAGTTAGGTTTTGTGCATGCTCACAGGGTTTTGAAAGCAAACCATGCCGTGAAATATGTGAAGCCTATGGTTTGTGTCATGTATCTAACTATCTAGGTAGAATACCTAAAAGTAGATGTTGTACAAACTACAAAGTTGTGGTTTATAGAATCTGGCAGACCTCCCCCGCCCCCTGTCTCCTATTTCCTCCCTCCCCCCTCCATTTCCTCCGTTCCCCCACTTCCCGTTCTCCCATTCCCCGTCCCCCATTCCCCGTTCCGGGTTTTAAAGATAGCCGGTTTCAGTCTATTTCACGTTTTTCGACAGAGAAGACGATCTTTTTGCCTGTATTCAATCTACAAACACTAAAAACAAGTCTACTAGTCGTATTTTACTCGTATTCTACTCGTATGTACTTGTATGTACTTGTGTTTTACTCGTATGTACTCGTGTGTTACTTGTATGTACTCGTATGTTACTCGTATGTACTCGTATGTTACTCGTATATACTCGTGTGTTACTCGTATGTACTCGTATGTACCTGTGTGTTACTCGTATGTTACTCGTATGTACTCGTGTGGTGTTTTAGTCACGATCCA